AATAATCCAAAGTTCTTTAGTATTTTTGTTATTATTTTAAAAAAAAATAGTGCTCGATCCAAAAGCAGAGCATAAATACAATTATTTATTTAAAAATATGATTCCAACTCTTATGTAAAGAGTTCTCATGTTTCAAAACAAGAGCCGAAAAACTTTCAATATAATTATTTGAATTAAAGTACCAAGTTCTGTTCCATCTTCAAGGGAAATTCTTTTTTGGAAAAATTTCGCTTTTACGTTTTTCTTAATTTTTATCCGTTTGTTTTTTGGGGCTTTTTTTTTTCGAATTTACTGTCTATAATCTTCAATCTTGCTAACCGAACGCTCCTCTGTAGCCAAATCGGTTAAGGCACGTCAAGCTAAATGATGTTCCGTATAAGATACAGGTTCGAATCCTGTCGGAGGACAAATATTTTCTGTGAAAATTTCTCGGACATTCAGGACAGTAAATGTTGTTTAATACTGTTTTATTATAAACAGAGCATTTACCTAAATATTTGTATCGACAAAAAGAATGTATAAACATAAAAATGTCTTAAAATAATTGTTGGATTTGGTCCATTTCATAATATATATATATATATATATATATATATGTGTGTGTATGTGTGTGTGTGTGTGTGTGTGTGTGTGTCTATAGCTAAATATTCGCCATATTTATACTTGAGCTTATATTCGTCGGGTTTATACTTAAGTCTATAGGTAAACAGTGATTGTCTTCATGATTGCGTTGGCCGAGTTTATACATGAGTATATAAGTAAATATTTGTCATCTTTATAATTTAGTGTATAGGTAAACATTGGTCGCGTTTATACATTGTAGGTAAATATTTTAATCTGCAAGCCTCCATCTAGTCAATAACTACTTTTGGGATGGTTTTAACTCACAGCGGGGAATGCAGTCAACTTCTTCTAGACGCTGCAGGGTATATTTTATATCGGAACACTTCGACCATTCTCACAATTTCAATATAACTTCCTTCTTTGTCTGCTTGTCTCAAGGTCGAAAATCAAGTTTAGTCTTCAACTGTGGCGAATGTTGAAGACCCGAATTAAGGCAATATGCCTAACTTCTAGATAAACTACATCCGCGTGCTGGGTAAGACGATAAACTACATCCAATAGTAAGGCCTCTGATCAGGAGGTTTTGAGGAGCGTGGAACTACCTCTTAATTTCTGGTGTTCCCAAGCCCACCCTGACCCGGGGTGGCAGCACCTGTTAGTGTCCCAGATATGGGCAAATAGTTAACCCCAAACTGGGGTCAAAACAGTATGAAAGTGTAAAAATATATTTTAGTACCATCAATATATTTTTGTAAAAAATTATTACCTGCAATAAATTTTTGAAAAAAAATTACCAGCAATACACTTTTGAAAAAAAAATTACCTGCAATAAATATCTTTCCGGCATTAAATAACACTATGAGGTTGATATGCCGTAAAACAAACCAGACCAAACCAAACCAAAATCACACATTTCTTTGTCGGCACTCAAAACATCTTGTAAACCTGTAGTGGACACAGTCTGCCACCCCACCCCGTAAGCGACATAAGATCGCCTGTGCTGTGCACAGGAGACTCAATCTGCGCGTATTGGGTGATGTCTCACGTGACCGAAAATATGTGTAGCGGCCTCGCTAGACGCCATAAAATGACAGCCTTCTTTAACACCGGGGAGCGACTAGAAGAGGTGTAGCTGGTGAACCAGAAGTGAATTTCGATAACTCAGCCACAGATATTTGCATAAACCTGTCATAAATCTCCGAGCCTTTTCATAACGAAATTTATAATTTTTTTGCATTCATCAGATCAGTTTTTGGAGCGAATAATCACCCGGAAGATTCTTTTGTCCTGGAACGCTCAAAAAATATTTCTATACAAATTAAAGATAATTGCTTATTCGTCTTACACTATTTTGGTTAACGAAAGCGTTCACAAGAATTTTCCACTTTCAGAGAGATCGGTGAAATTTGTATTCATTAATTTTTTTTTTCATTTTTTTTTATTTCTATTTATTTATTTATTTATTTATTTGCTTTTTTTTTTCACTCCTCTGATAGCTTCGTTATTTTATGTTTTCTTCTCCCACTTGAAAAATGATTAAACTACACCTTCCTCGGTCCAGGAAGATTTTTTTTTTCCGGTCTGCCTTTCGGCAAATCATTTCAAATGTATTCCGCAAGAAATTAGGATACTGAAGACGAACATATTATTTTAATTAACCGGGAACATGAGTATTTCAAAATGAAATATTTCAAAAATATAATCTTATTAAGAAGTGGATTCTAAGAGGAGCCTGTAAAGAGTCAGGTTAATGGCGTAGATGGAAGGAAGAAGTACTTATCAAGAAGAAGAAGAAGAAGAAGAAGAAGAAAGAACGCTGTGATTAACATTTTAAGAGGGAAGAGTGGCTTTAATTAGCAAGGTCAACATAAGCACGTATTTATCATTATCAATACTTATTTGCCATCTTTCATACTTAACAGATTGTCCCCCTTCTTCCCCCTGTATACACACATACACACATACCCCCCCACACACACACACACACATATATATATATATATATATATATATATATATATATATATATAGCACTTTATCCCATATAAATATAGCACATCTTAATACTATATCTTCATATATATATATATATATATATATATATATATATATATATATATATATATATATATATATTTATATATATATATATATGTTTTAATTTAATTACAAAAATTAAATTGAAACTTTTAGCTTCAATTTTGAAACATGGTTAGAACTGTGTAGCGAAAAAAACATATTTTAAATCAATTAATTTATGATATTAATTCTCTGTAAATTTACATTTGCACTATTTTGTAAAAAATAAAATATCTATAAGAACACCGGATTGTATATCTTACTATTTCTTTTCTTTCTTTATACATATCTATCTATCTATCTATATATATATATATATATATATATATATATATATATATATATATATATATATATATATATATATATATATATAGAAAAGAAACAGAATATAAGTAAATTGCCTATATTGCAAAATTATTTTAAAAATCCTTTCATATATATATATATATATATATATATATATATATTTCTCATGTATAAAAAGTGCTCTACCTTAAATACTCCTAAAAGTTTTTTTTTAACGCTCATAAAAATAAGATTCTGAAACGGTGATGGTAATTGACAAAGTCAGACATATTTGAATTGAAAACCCCGCTATACGAAAATAAGCAGAGATGACAAAGATGATCAGACGACCTTGGCAGAGTGTGAGGATGACACATATGTGAATTGATAACTGGATTATATCTTTGCAGAAAGCCTGGCGTCGAATTCAATTAAACGATTCCAACCAAAAGATTTTCCTTCTAAAGTCATATACTCATTGACAATCTATACGAGAGTTCGATAAAGATCAAGAAATGATTAAAAAGTTTGATGTTTGTTCATAACAAAAGATCCGTTAATAGAGAATACTAAACATGGCCAGGTCATTGTTTGTACTGAGCGGATAATAGATTAGCAAACATAACGGAAGGGGTGCTTAACTCGCAAGCCTTTTAAACAATACAATATGCGGAATTATAATTGACAGTATTATTTCATTATATATTTAATATTTCCTTTTTCTAGTATGCATCAGCTTCTCCCCTGTCTGTAAATTTAATAATCATTTCTTTACAAGCATGTAGGACGTCATTTTAAAACGAACAGACCTTTGAATTCAGAACATAGGTCTTAGTTTCGAGATATGCTTTTCTAATTTGTAGCAAAAGATTTTTACGCTTTGTGTCCTCCGTAAATAATTCTATACCTAAAAAAATATATTATCTTGTACGTACATATATATATATATATATATATATATATATATATATATATATATATATATATATATTATAATTATTTTTAAAATATGATTCCTTCGCTACAAAAGAATTCTCACGTTTTAAAAACTATAATTATTAAAATTAAATTGAATTTCAATTTAATTTTAATAATTATATTGAGAGTTTCTGGCTCTAGTTTTTAAAAACGTGAGAATTCTTATGTAACGAAGGAATCATATTTTTAGAAAAATAATTATAATTGCTTCTACTTCTGTATGGAGCACAGTTTTTAAAAATAAAAACAAAATACCAAAAGAACTCCGGATTATTTACCTAACGTGAACACACACACACACACACACACACACATATATATATATATATATATATATATATATATATATATATATATATATATATATATATATATATATATATATATATATATATATATATATATATATATATATATATATATATATATATATATATATATATATATATATATATATATATATATATATATATATATATATATATATATATATATATATATATATATATATATATATATATATATATATATATATATATATATATATATATATATATATATATATATATATATATATATATATATATATATATATATATATATATATATATATATATATATATATATATATATTATATATATATATATTATATATATATATAATCATAGCTGGTCACTCGTATTCGATGATACCGGTCTGTTACGGCGGATAGCAATCCTTATTGCAGACGCTTGCTCAGGCACATTTGTGTTTGTTCAACACCCGCTGAGAGCCTTAGTTACAATTTCCGGTAAAGAGAAACTGATCAACACTCTAACAATCTGAACAAGGGCAGCACACTCAAACACTCGGTCACGATGACTTGTGACTTCATGTTAGCACGGCCATCGACGACCCCCAGTTTCACTCACAAGGCTTGGATCATCGACATTGGACATCGTTTTCTGGCACTTTCCAAAGGTGCCGCACGCTGGGGTCGCCCTGTCCAGACTATTAACATCAGAACGTCTCCTTTCTGACAAATTGAAATTCGAGATTCGAACCTGGGTCTTATGGTCAGAAAACCAACGTTCTAACCACTCACACCACA